GACGGGAGGAGGATGCCAAACTACCTGAGGCGACTTAGCCTACGGGTTCGAACTCTTCCTTGAGTTATACCTCAGGCTCCACCTCAAGCTCACTAAGGCTGTCGGGGGCTGCAGCTTGGTTCGTGTTGTTGAGCTGTCCGAGCTAGACATAGGGAGGAAAGGAAAACCAGGAAGAAAGCACTGACTTACCCGGAAAAAACTAACGGAAGGTTGACGCGAGCTAAAACTTGGACGCGAGCTCAAGAAGCGAACGCAGGAGAATGGCGATGGAAAGCGACTGTGGTCCCCCACTATTTATACCCACAGTGACCGAAAACTGATGGCTCTGATCGAGGCAAATTCAATGGCTCGCGATCAAGCTGACCGCATGCCTCCTAAGACCGAGACGTGACTGGCCGCACGTCTTTGGAAACTGAAGCGGCGTTGGCACACATCTCCCAGCATTGAAGGCAACAGTGGCACAGTTTTTTTTGAATTTGAAATAACGCCCGCCGCCACGTCTTACAACATTAAAGGCAGCAGTGGTGCGATTTTTGAATTTGAAATAACGCTCACCGTCACGTCTCCCAGCATTTAAAGGCGGATTGGCGCATTTTCTGACTTTTTGGCGCTCGAGGAATCCGGAAATCTCCTAACGTATGCACACTTCACGCCATCTGTCAACCGGTTTGAAGTACGAGTCAAATCCACCCGTCACCTCGTGAACTCCCCGCGCTAGAGCAAAAACCCTTAGCGCAAGGAGTGGGGGGCAATTGATGGAGATAGATTTGGCCCGACCTCTTGGCCACCTGACAGGTGGAAGCAACCGAGGGTGACCTGGCAGGAACAACAGCTCGGCACAGCAGTGCTCAAGGCGCGAGCTCCAAGAAGAGGAGCCCCGAGCTCCCCCAAGAGGAACCCGTGACCCAAGCTCCCCAAAAGGAGCCCGAACTCTCCCTTTGACCCCAAGCCTTGCGAGGAGCGCAAAGGGCAACAACCCGAACTGGCCCACCCTAGGGCAGTTCGGGCCACACTTCTATCCGAACTCAAGACTTTACCTCGCATACCACTCCGACACTTCGTCTCTAGGCCACCGAACTGAACAACCGTACCTAATACCAGAGGAGTCTGTATCCTGAGGTGGCACGCCTGACTGACTTAGGATCTAATGTTTGATAGCCGCACTTCAACGGCCACCTGCCACCGCCACCTCCAGTTACAGAGACGACTCTGACAAAGAGAGCAGTGGCGGTTGCTGCCCCAACAGAGGTGACGACACCCGAACTGGCAGAAGTGCAGAGGTAATGATACCCGACCTAACAGTAGCTTGGGAGTGAGTGCACGAAGTGGTTATAAAAGGCCCTCTTCCCCCCAAGAATGGAGGTACGTGATAATTTTGCACCATCTGGTTTTTTATCTTGCCTTTGAGAAAATACTAACTTGAGTTTTGAAGCACTCTCACCGGGTTCCTCCCCGGAGACTACTCGCTTTCTTCCCCATTTCAGGCACCTTTTGCTCCAGTCAGAGGCAAGATCGTTGACAGGTAGGACCGACCAAATTGCGCTACATCAATTTTGTTGAATTCCTCCATCTGGTTCTCAGGCCTAAGCCTACCACCCAACTTTCCCCCAATTCCTAATCTCATTAAAATCTCCTAAAAGGAGCCAGGGATTTGTCATTGTATTTGAAATTTGTTTAAGACAACACCACACCTCTCACATCGCTACTTTGTTACTGGGTCTCCATATACAACAATAAAATTCCAACCTACCTCCTCCCTTCCCCAATCTAAAATAGTATGGATAGACTCAGCATTTTTTTTTTGAGTTAATGACACCTCTATTTCCATCTTCCATGCCAGGACTAATCCTCCTTTTAAACCTTCTGGTTCTACTGCGATAAAACCTGAAAATTCCTTTTCTTTGTAGTAATTTGGTGGTCTTCCTTGACTGGATCTTTGTTTCCATTATAAACACCACCATGGGTTGATGAGGTATAAGGGAGGATTACCTGATTCACTGATCGTCCAATTCATTGCATATGATAAAAGGGTTCTAAACCAGCTGTTGGGAATGAGTCAAATTATATGCCTCTTGTGGCTAGCATCAACTTGGGAAGCCCAATCCAATACAACCTTAGCTTTTGCGTAGATTGGACTTACATTTTAGCTTTGAAGTATACATGAATCTAAAAATTTAGCTTTTTGGCTTCAACTCAAATGCATCGGGGCAAAACCCAGATTTCCTACTCACTTTTCCTACCCACTCTATATCCACTGTGAATTGCAGCCACACATCTCTCAATTCATAATAGAGATATATGGCTGCAATTTATGATGGGTAGAGAATTGGTAGGAAAAGTGAATAGGAAATCCTGTTTGATTTCGCCTAGTTTTTCCCCAAAGTGAGCCCACTTCAACAACTGAGGCTTGCCTGACCTATAATATATTCATTCCTTGTATGTATGTACATTGTGCATTGAAATTATTAAGAAGAATTAGCTCAAATTAAGCTTGAGCTGACAAACTCGGCCTTTGATCGTAGGCTTTCCCTTAACCCAACCCAACCCTCCTAAGCGTTACCTTTTTTGTTTTTAACTTTTTTTGGTACAAATAAAGAGAAAAACTGGTTTTTATCAATATGTTTCCCTTTTTTCGCTTGAGACCATCTCATCTATTTGCCAATATATAAGGGGGTGGGTATGACCAATAATAATAAGTATAATGTTGTTTTGGGTGAATTGCTGAAACCTCTATTTTTCCACAGTTGCGGTTCACGGGATCAGTATCCTATTTTTGCTAATAGCATGTACTGCATGTCCGCCAATGAATTTCCTGACATTGTTACATTTACATTCCCTCCATCAATCCAAATCCAATGTTAGAATGTTAACTGAAATTGCTGCTGTCATTATCTCAACAATTTTAAATATCAATATTGCCCTTAGATAAAAACATGTGGATTTACACTAACCAAAATACCCTAAAAAGTCATTTATATCCTACTTGAATATAGTGGGTTATCCATCCTAACCCTCACCCACCTTAATCCACCTACTTTGATTTGTATATCCACCACATTCAATATTTTTTCTCAAAACACACAAAAAAGTTGTATGAGATACAAAAATTGATAAAAAAATTAAACAAGTATATTAACAAAAAGCTAAAATTTAAAAAATAAAAAATGTTATCTTTTTCAAAAATATATTTTCAACCAAAAATTAGAATTGCAAAAAAAAAAATCATAAAATGATAACATTTTCGTATATATATAATCAAGTAAGAAAAGGCAAAAAATATAGAAAGACAAAGAAAATGATAAAAAAAAATCAAATATAGATTTCAATAAAAAAGTATAAATGTAGAAAATACATAAAATCTATAAAAAATAACAATATATATATATATATATATATATATATATATATATATATAATTCAACAAACTATATAGAAATTATAAAAAAAAACACAAATTTTATGAATTTTGTGATCAGTGTAATAGAAAAGGGCAAATATAGAAGCCAATTTAATTACCATTCAAACAGTCAAAATTACGTATTTTGGTAATTTTTGTTGCTTCCAGCAGCTGAAAATAATGAAAGGATGTACAATGTTAGAAAGTCTAGGGAGGACAATGCTATTAATATAAAGTGAAGTAGCGAAATGCAACCGTGAAAAAGTATAAACAAAGTTTTAGCAATTTATCCTTTTGTTGTTTTGAGACAAAAACAATTGCCATATCCAAAATGGTAATGCACAATAAGATAAAGCCATCCGTTGAAATTATTAATTTAGTTATTAAGAAAAGAAAACAATCACAGTACATGGAAGATTGTAGCACCACTTAATGGTCATCATATCTAAATCCTGCCAGGTGGAGAATATAATAGATGCGGTGCGTAAACGAAGCCACCACTTAGTGAGAGGTTCATGAATCATTGAACATAATTGAAGAGAGAGAGAGAGAGGACTGTCCGGTTGTGGCAATTGGACTTTAATTATATAAATGCATTTGATATGATTTGCTTTGAACAATTAAGACAACATTCTACATTGTATAATACTCTCCATGATAATAGCTCGCGTACGTACTACACCCAAGGGTGTCTACCAACAACGACAAAAATCTGTCAGTCATTCCAAATCTAAAGTCATCGTCTGGTCATCTACAGTGTGAACAAGGAAAGAGATACTCATTTCCTTGTGGTTAGCTTTTTTCATCCTTCAATTCTGAAAGAGTAGTTCAACCAAAAACCTCAAGCCCTTAATTGAGGTCCCTTCATTGAAATGAGACATACACATACAATGGTCAATATTGATGTAGAAGTGGTGATGTGTTTGTAGCCTAGCTAGGCCGCCCGCTAACTAGTAGGCCAAGCTTCCGTACCCTCCACGGCATACCCAGATTCTACCATTCGAGGTTGTTAATATTCTCGATTCAATGGTCAATACAAGGGCATGAATTGACAAAAAGGCTAATTAATACGCATTGAGGACGAGAAACACGAACACCCCTCCATATCCGTGAATGACCGTGGTGATTATGACATCGGGGGTCCCTTCATTGAAATATCGTTGTCCTCCTCTTCAAATAAGATTATTATAAAACTTGGTTATCATCACTTTCCAAATTGTTAATTTTCATAGGACAATTGGTCGTCCGAAAACCACTCTAGTCCTTGTCAAAATCCATTACGACGGTATTACTTTATGTATGTATTTGTAACCGTGGGTATTTATTTATTAAACTTTTGTATTTAATATGGTTATAAAATTAAAAAAAAAAAAGTAATAATATAAATGATACTTTAACGGCCTAATATTAGTCAAACAGTGAATAAATGCATAACTTTACCAAATGGTAAGTACACACATAAATCAAGGTCATCAGTTTTGAATCTTTATGTACACGGATTTGCATAATGGGGAAAATGCTAAAATAACGCCTATATGACAGCATTTATTTAATAAACACCCACCATTCCAAACACATACTAAAATAAACATGCACAAAACCACTAAAAAGGTTCATTTACTATGTCAAGTTATGAAATTATGTCAATCTATTCACTCATTAATACATATTATTTATTTATTTTTTTTATGGTTTTCTTACAAAGTAGAGAGGAGGTGTTTTACTCTTATTACCAAAAGAAAAGAAAGAAAAATGGAATATTGCAGTGTCGAATTAAAGAGGACGAGAAATCTGAGAATGGAATACCATTGTTTTCTTCAGACGGATAGATTCAATTCAACCATGCACCCTTAGGCCCTAGCTAACCCGCCTACTAACTTGATCGTCCTTCCAACCGGCCAGTTAAACAAATGAATGTAAAAATGTCAATGAAGCGCAATTTGGCAGGATTTCCCTTTCTATTTAACTGTTGGGGTACAGTGATGGAATTTGCCCCTAATCTGAGGTCTGAACTTCTATCGGGGTTGTTCCATGGTCAATGTCACTTGGTTTATTGAGTAATCATTCAAGTTTGAAGACGAAGTAACAGTGGCGGATCTCCTCACTGCAGAAAATAAAGGTTCCCTGGGCATTGGCAAGATTGCACTCTCATTACCCAACATGAAAATGACAGAAGACATTGTTGGCCGATCAACTGGATCTTCTTGGACGCACAACAGCCCCACATGAACACATTTCACAACTTGATTCTCAAGACATGTCTCCCTAATTGATGGATCAATCAGCTCTGCCGCTCTATCCTCTCTCCATAGTTGCCATGCCTACAACACATTAAATTTAAATCCCTCAATCAGTAGTCTATGTATGGATCAATAGCTGCTATCATATATAAAGAAACAGAAACAGAAACTGGTTTTTCATACTTACATATCCCACTAAGGGCAGGGTTTGATTGGTAGGATACATGCCAGTGTTCTTTTTTCCACTGATAATTTCTAACAACAGCACCCCAAAGCTGAATACATCTGATTTTTCAGAAAAGGTCCCATCCAATGCATACTCCGGTGACATGTAACCACTGTATGTGTATCATTTCAATAAAACATTACGAGTATAAACTATACTCAAAACTACATTTACGAGGATGCATGTAAATGAAACTTACAATGTCCCAACTAATCTATCGGTGTTTGCCTCAGTCTGGTTCGCCCCGAACATCCTTGCCATCCCAAAGTCTGAAATTTTGGGATTCATATCTCCATCCAACAATATGTTGCTTGCTTTTAAATCCCTATGAATGACTTTTACTCTGGAGTGCTTATGAAGATAAAGAAGACCTTGAGCAATCCCTTCTACAATGTTATACCGCTTACACCAATCCAAATCTGATTGTTTGGTCGGATCTGATTGACATTAATTTCCAATACAAAATTGAGATCAATTGGTTTGGCAATTCACAATTGGTATTTCAATTACTGAAAGTTTGCAAAAAGAAAAAGAACTAACCAAATAGAAGCTTATTCAAACTTTTGTTGGGCAAATATTCGTATATCAGTATCTTCTCTGTTCCTTGAATGCAACAACCCAAGAGTCTAACAAGATTTCTGTGCTGGAGCTTGGCAATTAGTTTTATTTCGTTCATGAACTCTTCGAGTCCTTGTCCAGACTTCTTAGAAAGCCTTTTAACAGCTACTTCTTGACCATCAGGCAAGATTCCCTAGAAGATTGAAAATATATACTTGTTAGAGTTTCTATGAAATAAGAAACCTTTAACTGTCTGAGATTCACTGAGAAAAAGAAAAGATGATCTTTGAAATGCAGAACCCAATGTGAAACCATGAATTACCTTGTAAACAGAGCCAAACCCACCCTGTCCCAATTTATTTACTTCAGAGAAGTTCTGTGTAACAGCCTGTATGGTACTAAAACTGAATGTAGATAGCTCTGAAGCATTCGCCTCACCTCCTAGTACTTGAGAACCCCTGTTGTTTACTTCAAGAATACTTTCTGCTTCTTCACCTATTGTGGAACACAATAAGACAGTAAGCACTGCTTCAATGCGAAAGTGAGTAATATTGTGTTGGTACCATATAAAGGAATATGAAGTTTACCTCTAATCCATGTGTTGGTAGGGATTTTTATTAGGAGACAGAGCAATTACCTTCCTTTGAAAGCCTTCTCCTCCACAAAAAGTAGCCCAAAGCACCCATAAGAAGCACCCCACAAGCAACTGTTGCCACCGCAATTATAACTCTGCGTCTGTTCTTATCAATGACATTTCTTGTCTCACCAATTCCAACTGAAAGAGAAAGATAAACAGTTAATCCATTTAGTGAAGAGTAACAGTATAAGCAAATAATGTGATTCCCTTTTGACTATCTAGGAAACAAGTACAGAACCCTTCAAGATCTCTGGAGTTGAATCCCAGCTTCAGTGGAAACTTAAGGTCTTGGGTTTTAATCCTCTGTTATTCTTCAACTCAGAGCATTCCTCTATGGTATATCTTTGGGGAAAAAATAAGGAAAGGAATTTAAAATACCTAACTCAGAGCTGTCAAGACGTACATAAAGATCATGCCCACCACTGTAGTTCTGCACAAAGTCATTGAAATCTCCAACCCAATTTAGACACCTCGTTGTAACCGCACCACTAAAATTACTAAAAGCATAAGCTGTACAGGAGCAGTTCCTCAAGCATGCAGCTCTGCATTCTGTCATACTGAAATCCCCCATTGAAATAGATTGATCGGGCAGCTTGACACTTTCAAATCTCAAAAATCCATTTGTATTGTCACAACTCAGTTTCTTTCGGCGAACACACCCTCCAGACCAGTTCCCCTTCTCCCATTCGGTCAGAACTTTAGGCTCGAACCCTTCCAAACATTTGCAGATCAGCGAAGAGCTGTTCCGATCACAGCTTCCATTTGGACCGCACTGGTTAAAGAAATCGCATGCCTCCTCTGGTATCGAAGATAACAATTTCCACTGATTTTCACTCTCGAACCATGACAAGAGCTCAATTTGCCCACTTCGATCCAGCTTAAACATTGCTGGCATTGAGTCCCGTGAGAGGCTAAATGTGACGTTAGCCTCCTCATCGTTAACAGTATAGGTGAGATAGAAAGCATAGTTGTTAATGTTCTCAAGTGCTCCAACAGAGAGCCTTCCATCCCAGGTTTCACTTCTCCAGTAAGTACCAGAACTCCTCCTGGTGAGAAGCTGGAGTGAACCATCGATAGCTAAATTAAATTCCCCTGGTGCTGGGTCATCTTCGCTTATCCATGATGTTGCATGGATACTTTGGCCGGTCTTTAGATTCAAGCTGACTCTCATGCCGGGCAAGATTGTGTCGGAGGGATAATCGAAGCTTTGCCACAAGTCGGCAGTGTTATTACTGTTTCTCAAAACTAGATTTCCGGAGTCCATTAGCAATCCAATGGTGTTATTCTTGTCAACGTCAGCAACTGAGATATTAGAAGACCATAAGACTTTTTTGCTTCCATCCAAAACCATGAGATTCCCATCGTCGGCGACGGTGAAAACTCCGGAAGAATTGTTGAAAAGAGGTGCTTCTCGGTTAGCAACCCAAACGACCGTCTGTTGGGGGATGTTATTGTACCATATTCCAAGATAGCGGTTGGTAGAATTGCCGGGACTGAAGAAGCCTAAGGCGAAGGTTTCGCCTGCGGAGATTATAGTGTGGTTACCACTTATGGTTTCGCCGGCTGTTATCCTGTACTTGCCGCTGCACAGTGGTAGAAGCGATGAACATAAGATGAAGAGTGAAATCAAGGGAGAAGGCCATACCATTGTTTGCTGTTTTGATTTTCGTTTTCAGTTCCGCACCTGCAAAAAAGAATGAGAATTGAAAACAACTTCAACGAAGGTGTATCGAATTTAGCTGGATTAGTTTGACTGTGTGAGTTTCGAATAACTTGTACAAGCTTGGTGTTTGACAATCGGAAATCATATCATGTTTGACGCTGCGACTGCAGCACCGACACGTCATCTTTTGTTAAATTTCAAACAATGATTATTCCACTTGATCTACCTACTTTAAGTTGTGTTGGATATGAAAAATAATTAGGGAAAGGTATGAAAACCTTTACAAACTTTATATAAGCTTCCCGCAAATAGGAAATTAGCAACGCGGATGGCTTCGTTGACCCTCATCTTTATTAGTAAATAGACAATTCTTGCGAGGAATTTTGTCGCATCCATTCCACTTATTAGGGAAATATCACGCCGGAAAATACATTTAGACTCCCTTTGGTTTGTGTGGGATGGGATAGGATGAAAAAGTGGGAAATTTTAACTTTTCATTGTTTGGTTATACACATGAAAAAATAGTGGGAAAAGTGGTCAATTCTATTGTAAGTCCGGCTGCACCAACAATGTTTTCCAAGAGTATATTACCAACAACAATGAAGGCAATGAACTCTCCCAATTCTGCGATAGGAATTTTTACAGCCAATTCAGTGTAACAGAAAATAGAGAGCAATGTAGAAATACCAGAAGTGGCGTAAGATAAGACAACAATGAAGGCAATGAACTCTCCCAATTCTGCGATAGGAATTTTTACAGCCAATTCAGTGTAACAGAAAATAGAGAGCAATGTAGAAATACCAAAAGTGGCGTAAGATAAGACCATGGAAGGGCCTGCATGGTTGCGAGCTTTCTGGCCGGTGAGAACAAAGATGCATGATTGTGTCCACAACAAAACCAAAGCTTCGCCAGATGAGATCACACCAAGTGAGGCAGCGTTTCATGTCGTTCTCACTCTGTCTCCTGAGTACATCGAATTCGTTCAGTTCGGTTGAGTGGTTGAGAAGGTGGTCCTTCAAACCGAAACATGTCTGAGAGACAGCTGCCCTGTAAGCGGACCAACTTTGGAAAGATTGTTTAGGGAAGAAATCTTTTTTGCTCCATCTCTAGTATTTCCCTATTGCATCATCTCCAACCTTCCCTCCTCCATCCATTTCTGTGGTGGTTCTGAAGACCAGAGAGAAATTGTTGGTCCAACCCCCACCATTGCTTGCACCACCGTAACCACTTCCATGATCTAGTCTTACCTTTGAACAAAATGGCCAGAGAAATCGCCAGAGATGCGACCATTGGAACAGGTCGAGATTGAAGAAGAATCTCTTATCGCTCTCTCTTCTGACAAATTCGAAATATTTTCTCAATTGAGTTTTCTCAGCATGGTCGCACTGCTTTGGTGCTATTTCAATTACTCAATTTTGAGATCCTGCATCCCATGCATCTATTTCTCTCAAAACAAATAAAGGAAAAAAGAATATTTTTAAAATATTCCCTTTTTTTCATCCCATCCCACAGACCAAATATAACCTTACCGGAAGAGTAGATTGGGCAATCGGTTCGAGCCATGGCATTTTCAGGTCAAGGCAGACTTCAAATTGGGCCGACCAAAGCATCAATTCACGGTTTGGATGCATTCCCCCACTACTAGCCCTCTCCCCCTGTGCTGATTGATCATTCTCCCATGATTCAATCACCTAGATTAGGTTATTTTTGACAAGTCAATGGGTTTTATTTTTTTATTTTTTTATTTTTTTAAAAAGTACTGCATATGAATTTTGATGAATATCACCTGATTTTTTTTTCCTTTTAAATGCAAAATTGCATTGATATATTTAAGAGACAATCTCAGTCGTACAATTAGAAGTTACAGACTTGCAACATAGAAATCTATGTGCGCCACTTACAGACTTCCAACATAGAAATCTAGGTGTGATATATTAAGAGATAACTTGGCAGTTTATATGTACTTTTTCACTTTAAATATTTATTTATACTTTTTCACTTTAAACATTTATTTATACTTTTTCACTTTAAACGTTTTTACTTTAAACATTTCTTGGTTTTGTTGTTTGGTTGGGCTTTGCTTTAAATGTTTTTTACTCTCCACCTCAGATTAATACCTGTTAAAGTGTGCCACATCAGCATATGGTTTCAATAAACGCTGGGGCATTGGGGGAAACAAGAATTTTATGTTTCTCCAAAAGCCCCATGCACAAAAATCAAAGCATTTCAGTTTTCTACAATTTTTTGATAAACAGTGAAATCAAACAATTGTTTCATTTTGCTTCATATGCAATAAAGGCCAATCACTTGGTGTTAGGCTACATACCATGCAATAATGCAAAACATAAGGTGATTATCTATGCTATAGAAAGCCGAAAATGCCTTAGTCTTTCTCCATGTCATATAACTTAAATCAAATCATGATAAGGTTAATATCCTTTTGGGTCCGTTTGGTTGGCAGTCAAGATCAAAATCAGAATTGTTTATTCCCATAGTCTGTTTGGCTCAGACAGGAATGGGAATTGGAATCAACAAGAATGGGATTTCATTCTCAAGGGAGGGGGAGGGAATGGCCATTCTCTCAAATGGAGGAATGCCATTCTAGTAGGAATGGGATTGAGATTCCTACCAACCAAATGGGGCATTTATCCTTACCATGCACACATGTACACCACACGTCATCTATTATATTTGTGGGACCCATGTGATGTACAAGATTTGTCAAGAGAAAATGAAATAATAGAAACTCATAACTATTACAAGGAAGGAATGCAAGGAATAGCCCATTCCGATTATGATGTAGGCACAAATGGCCTAGACCAATCGTAGGGCTCACACGTGTCAGGCGGCGTACATTAGGGCTGAGCCAATCAGCTGGCACGCGCTACCTTGCACAGCGCAAAGCGGGGAACCAATGGTGTGGGGTCACTTGGCGCCCTGGGATGGCCATGTACCCCATGTACGGACTCAATCCCCGCCATCCGAGCTCACCTACCTCCAAGCCAGTTCAAGTATAAATAGGAAGCAACCCCTCTAGGTAAAGGATCAAACACTCAAGCTTTCTCTCTTGCTCTTGAGACTACTTGCTTTCTTGTGACTTTGTTTAGGCATTCACACCTCAGACCTCGTCCATCTCATACCTCCTTACTAACTTGACCGTCGGAATCCTCGCCTCGGGTCTTCATCCAAGGCCTCTGATATTGTCCTTCCTTGCAAAATCGACCCCAAGATCCTTCCTCACCTCAGATACCAGACATTTTGGGGCTTGGACCTCGGACTTTGCTTCTTGGTCACATCTGTCCTTCGATTTCCAGCACCTCAGATCCCCTCGGGCTTAGGAGTGAATTGACAGTATTGACCTCAGCCAATCCAAGCATCAACAATTGGCACCATCTGTGGGAACACCGCTAAGACTTCCTTCAGTCTAACTTATAATCAAGAACATGCTTAAGATCTAATCAACATGGTACGAAACACTAGGAATGCCCAGAACCTAGTCACCAACGAACAACTCCAAGCGGTCCTCAACTAATTGGACCACCTCGTTCGGTGCGTCAAGGAGGTGTGTCCCAAGGCAGGAGGCCATCCTCAAGGTGGTCACCCTATCGGGGCGTTAGGCCACTAGGGGCAGCGCAAGTTTACAGACCCGCTAGCCCCCGGCCCCGCTGACTCCCACTGGGCCAAGCCCTCCAAGGTAGTAGCTGACATGCCATCCAGCCACCTCGGAACGCAAGACCTTCCAACCGAAGGGGGGGAGGAATTATCTCAGTTTGATGACAACCTTAAGGACTTCGAACAACACCGTTGCCGCCAAAGAAGAGAGACCTCCCAAGACGAAAGCAAATGACATGGCCACTACAACCCCCACTCCAAGGCCGAGGGCCGGCGTCATGCCTCCCCCTCTTAGGTTTCTGACCTCCGTGATCTCCTCAACAACTGTTGTTCCAAAAGGAACAACCACGCCCCCGCGTCCAAGTATTCTAGGATCCGGGATGACCCCCACCAACTCTATGAAGACAAGGACAGAGCACAGGTCTCCCTCGACCCTCGGATTGTGGACTTGGATGCTCAACTCGGGGCCATCAAGGACAAGCTCCACCAAATCAGAGAGAGCCAAGCTGATGCCTTGGCCACCCAGAGCCATCCGACTGGAAGGATGAATGCGTTCACCTCGGACATCATTTCCGAGCCCCTCTCCCACATTTCAAGGCTCCCACGCAAGAAATGTATGATGGGATGATGGACCTCGACGATCACCTAAAAAGTTTCAAGGTGCTCATGCTCCTCTATGGGTACTCCGACGCGCTGACATGCTGGACTTTCTAGGCGACCTTTAGGGGGCAGCTCAGCGATGGTTCTCCAGCCTCCCACCTCGCTCTATCAGTTCATGGAAGCAACTCGCCAACTTGTTCCTCGAACACTTCTTCAGCAGTAGGCAATGCAAGAAAAGTGTCATCTTGCTAATGTTTGTTAAGCAAAAGCGGGGCGAGAGCTTGTGGTCTTACATTGATCGCTTCAAGAAGGAAGAACTCGAGGTCTGAGACCTTGACTCAATGGTATCCATGCACGCCGCCATCAATGGCCTCCTACTTGGCTCGGCCCAAAAGTGCTCGGTAGTCAAGACTCTGCCAAAGTCCAAGGTAGAATTCCTTAAGAAGGCCCAAGAAAGGCAAGTCAAGCGCCACCATAGAGGCCCCGAGAAGAAGAGAAAGAACGGATACCACCATGGCAACAACAACAACAACAACAAAGACAACTAGAAACCACCAGCCTCGGCCCTGGTTTACAGTCAATCCAAGCCACTTAACTCCACCTGAACCCAGATCCTGATGCACGTTAGTAAGGAGGAGTACGTGAAGTGGCCTGAGAAAATGAAGAGGAACCCCAAGAGGGGTAACCTGAAGAAGTACTACATGTACCACCACAGCATCGGCCATGATACCAAGGACTACTACGAGTTGAAAAACAAGATAAGAGTCCCTCATCTGTTGTGTCCACCTCAAGCAGTACATCGGAAGTGAGGCCAGGGGTTATGGTCCCCCATGACGACGTGTTGGTGATCTCGACCGTCATTGCAAATTTTTTGGTGAAAAGGATCTT